TGGTATCGCCTAGTTTGTCTTACAGGGTTTTCACAGTTTTGGGTCTTTCATTTAAGTTTTTAATTCATCTTGAATTAAGTTTCGTGTATGGTGTAAGGAAGAGGTCCAGTTTCAAGCTTCTGCATATGGCTAGCCATATCACAGCACCATTTATTAAATAGGGGAATCATTTCCCCATTGCTTGTTTTTGTCAGGTTTGTTGAAGGTCAGATAGTCGTAGGTGTATGGGCTTATTTCTTGGTTTTCTATTGTGTAACATTGTTCTATGTGTCTGGTTTTGTACCACTACCATGCTGTTTTGGTTACTGTAGCCCTGTAGTATACTTTAAAGTATGGTAGTGTGATGCCTCCAGCTGTGTTCTTTTTGCTTAAGATTGTCTTGGTTGTTTGAGCTCTTTTTCAGTGCCATATGAATTTTAAAATGATTTTTCTAATTCTGTAAGGAATGTCAGTGATAGTTTGATAGGAATATCTTTCAGTCTGTAAATTTATTTGGGCAGTATGACAATTTTAATAATATTGAGTCTTCCGATCCATGAGCATGGGATGGTTTTCCATTTGTTTGTGTCATCTCTGATTTCTTTTAAGCAGTTGTTTATAGTTCTCCCTGTAAAGATCTTTCACCTCCCTAGTTAACTATGATCCTGATTTGGTTCTCAGCTTGACTGCTGTTGGTGTATAGGAATATTAATGATTTTTCCACATTGATTTCATATCCTGAGACTTTGCTGAAGTTGTTTATCAGCTTAAGGAGTTTTTGGCTGAGACTACAGGGTTTTCTAGATATAGGATCATGTGATCTGCACACAGGGATGGTTTAGCTTCCTCTCTTCCTATTTGGATGCCCTTCATTTCTTTCTCTTGCCTGATTGCCCTGGCCAGGACTTCCAATACTTTGTTGAATAGAAGGGGTAAGAGAGGGCATCTTTGTCTTGTGTCAGTTTTCAAGAAGAATGCTTCTAGCTTTTGCTCATTCAGTAGAATGTTGGCTATGGGTTTGTCATAGGTGGCTTTTTTTATTTTGAGGTATATTCCGTCAAAACCTAGTTTATAGAGAGTCTTTAACATTAAATGCTGTTAAATTTTATTGAAAATATTTCCTCCATCTCTTGAGATAATAATGTGCTTTTTGGCTTTAGTTCTGTTTATGTGATGAATCACATTGATTGATTTGCATGTGTTGAACCAACCTTGTATTCCAGAGATGAAGCCTACTTGATCATAGTGGATAAACTTTTTTGATGTGCTTCTGGATTTAGTTTGCCAGTATTTTGTTGAGGATTTTTACATTGATGTTCATCAAGGATATTGGCCTGAAGTTTTCTTTGTGTTATTGTTGTTATGTCTCTGCCAGGTTTTGGTATCAGGATGATGCTGACTTCATAGAATGAGTTGAGGAGGAGTCGCTTCTCTTCAATTTCTTTGAATAGTTTCAGCAGGAATGGTACCAGATCTTCTTTGTACATCTGGAAGAATTCAACTGTGAATCCATTTGGTCCTGGGATTTTTTTGATTGGTAGGCTATTTATTACTGACTCCCAGGCACTGGAGGGGCAAGGAAAGCAAAACCCTCCCACACAGACAAGCACCAGCAAAGCAATGTGTGGGAGTTGTCGGTGGCCCTGGGGAAGCTGCCATATGGGGAGGGGGTATGGAGGCTGTTGTGTGGCTGTAGGAGTTGCCATGCTGGAGCTCTCTGCTTATCAGGAACAGTCTGCCAGTGCAGAAGCTATGGTGCTGGCCCCCTGGGCACGCAAGACTGCCTGCCAGCAGGTGTGGCCACTCTGGGACCTGGGAGAAGCTATCAGACCAAAGGGTGCTCTAGTCAGATCAGCTTCATCTGATGGGCAACATTGCCGTGCAGAGTTCAGGTCTGAAAGTTCCCTTAGAGCTAACATCTCCTATGGGAACAAGTAGAGACTAGGGGGATGGCTGTCTCTGGCTGTGTTCTGCTATAGACACTCCCACACCAAACCCTCTGGGCTCCACATCAGCTGGTGTGCTGCCTCTATTACTTCTCTAAGCAGCTCTCCATGCCAATTCGAGTGCCCATGGTGGTCAAGGGGTCTCCTTCTACATGGGTTCTAGAGACCCATGTTGAGAGCGGGTTACTCTTTGCTACTTCAACTTACCTGTTTCCCAGAAGCCACTGGGGACCAGGAATAAGTCTCAGTGCATTGTAGCCCATGCAGGGTTCCTAGCTTTCTCCCCCTTCAGCCCAGCTTCTCTGTCTTCCCTTCATCCACTCTCAGTGCCTTCCCTCTAAAGATCTGTCAGAAGCGAGTCAGTCTTCTCAGTCCCTTGGTGAGAGCTGTTCCACTGCATCTAATTGGACACCTTGCCACCAAATCAAGAAGTGACAAATATTATGAAAACAACCAACAAAAGGAGAAAATTGAAAAGGGAAAAATGGAAAAAGATAAGGCTTGCTGAGATGAGACAGATTAAATTTGGGGTTCTGGACTGTGTAGCAAGAGCATACTTCAGACAACCTGAAACCTGAGTCTGCTGAGGAGTGCTGTGGGCTTTTAGGAAATCTACCTTTGTTTTGTTGAATACCTCAGTAAACACTCTGGAATGTGTGGGAATTATTTATATCAGTTGCTTCTGGTGAGTGGGCTGGTCTTCAAAACAGCCAAGGTGAGGGAGATGTAGATATAAAGCCCTTCATGAAAATGGCCGAAGGAGCATCTCACGTCTGGTGGCATCCTCACTCCTCGTTGGTGACATCCTTCACATTTTACATCCTCTTTTTCAAAAACACCATCACACCATTGTAACCAACATGATGAAGTTTAACTACTCATAGAAAGGGATAGCAGAACTAACTTCTAAATTAGCAAGGGGAAATTTTTTAAAAATATAAAAGTCAAATATGTAGTAATATAAAAAGGGCATAAAAAATATGTACTTGAAAAACTAGAAGTAACCAAGATGAACTCCCCTCTTAAAAGACACAGACTGGAAGATTACATTTTTAAAATCCACATTTTTTTTTTAGGTGAAACATGCTAAAACTCTCATGATGAATAAATGAAAATAATGGAATGGCAAAAATCATATCAGCGAAGTTCTGCACAAAGCAGAATTCAGCAAATATGCTGTGGGGCAACCCCCAGTGAATTTGAATCATATCAGTTTTCTAAGGTGTCACAGCACACCCCTATACCAGTCCAAGCATGACTGATCTCTCCTTCGCCTGACAGAGAATAAGGAAAAAAGAATAAGGAAAGAATTAGAATAAGGAAAAACACATGGAGATCATTAGCTCACCTCAGAAAGTTTCTTCCTCTTTGGGATTTTAGTTATCCTGGTAATCCTTGCTTATATAGATGAATGAGTTGAGGAGGAGTAGCTCATCTTCAATTTCTTTGAACAGTTTCACCAGGAATGGTACCAGCTCTTCTTGATACGTCTGGTAGAATTCAGCTGTGAATCCATTTGGTCCTGGGCTTTTTTGTTTGTTTGTTTATTTATTTATTTATTTATTTTTTTGGTTGATAGACTTTGTGATGTCTTTTAAAAATAGGCTTGATTTTTTTTTTAATTTAGCTTTTCTAGGTCACAGTAGAAGTGCTGGTTTGCTGTGACCTCCTACATCCTCCTTGAAGTGGAAACCCCACTTATCTATTAATCTTTCTCATTTCATTTGTCTCCCTCTGCATCCATTCAGTTGCCAAGTCTCATGGACTGTTTCTGCCAAGTTGCTTGAATTTGGTTCCATCTTTTCTTATTCACAGCCACCACTTTGGTTAGTCATTGGATTATCTTCCTAGGATAACTACAGTGACATCTAATTTCCCCATCTCTAGTTTCTGTCCTGTACAACCAATGCTCTAGACAGTTCTGTAAACTAATCATTGGTAAGTGCAGCTCCAGTGATGTTGGTCTCCAGCTAAAACATTTCCATGGCTTTCTGACAAAGTATAATGTGAAATTTTGTTCCCAATTTAATGTCAAATTTTTGTCCCACGTTATCTCTTGTTTTGCGATTCATATTGCTTACACTTCATCCAAACAAGACTACTTAGTGCTCCCTTAACATATCCCATACATTGCCACTATTTGTCCTTTGTTCGTGTTGTTCTCTCTACTTGACAAATTGACAAGTATTTATTCATTTACCCCTAAATATCTGCTTACAGAATCCTACCCATGATTCAAGTCACTGTTTAAATGGTGCGTACATCTTCGTTTATGCTTCAACAGGATCTCATGACTTTGCCTGACTCTAAGTCTTTCTGGTATGTAGTTTTTACTTGTCTTTTGGCACTTACTAAAAATTCTGTCCTACCTTGACTTGTCTATCTCCACTACTAAAGAATAAAATTTTGAAGTCAGGGACCTATTTGTACGATCTGGTAAAACATACACCTATTAAACTATTTTGGGCAGCAAAGAAGAATATTTGTGAAGGAACAAAACAATGAACCACATAATCTGTCTAATTGTACATAGATATTTTCTGATGTGGGAACCTATTCTCTCCCTTTTCTGCTTTGTTTCTCAGCGTATTTCTGCCATACTGGAAGTAGGAGATATTCATATTGCCTCTAATAAATGCTTGGAGCAAAGTAAACCTCTTGGTTGGCTGTCTGTTTTAGCTTTTTCACCTTCAAAGCCTTTGTATAGAGATGATTTGGAGCAAGTACAAAATATTGCTCCAAGCAGCATATTGTCTTAGTTTTTAACTCATCTTAAAGTTTAAATATTCAGTATTTGTCCACAAAGTGCTTTCAGCACCTCAGAAGAATAACATAATTCAAATACAAAGTGCCATTATGTTGTTATCTTCAGCTCTCAGTTTATGAGGTCATATTTATTACTCATGTAGTGGAATACTTTACATTTCTACAAATCCTTCCCAGAAACAGTCCCACCCTAAACAAAACTGTTCAAAGTGAAGATTCTTAGTTTTAAAGTAAAAATAAATAAATGATAAAACTGGATAAAATGATCTGTTAAGGCCCATTTGGAACCAAAGAGCATCAATGAGAAACTTTATAAGTGAAGCAGAGAAACATTTATTTGTGCATCAGCTAAACTCTGTTGCCTGCAAAGTATCAACTGTCATGTTCTGCAAAACGCTGTGAGTCACACAGTTCCAACGAGCACTTTTCACTGTCTATCATCAGCCGATGTGGACTCCGAGTGTGGAGAAAACGAGCATAAGAGTCTCAAGCCTGAAATGATTAATAACATAGTTGAAAGAGATTATAAAAGAAAGATTCTTTCTTGTCATTGGATAATCTGTTATAAGCTATTTGGGTTGTATCTACGCTTAATAAAATAACTACTTAATTCAATAAACCTGGTTTAAAAATGTACAAGCTAATAAGTGTAAGTGATGTAAATAAATATAGTGCAAATAAATATCATAAATATAGTGATTTGCATAATTTTAAACCAAATGTTCCCTGTCTCTGAACTCCAGGAGCAGATTAAAAAGCCCCAGAGGAGGAGTGTAACAGAGGAGTAAGAGTGTAACTCCTAAAACCAGACCGCCTAGGGTCTGATCTCCAGCTCAACAATTAGCTATACAGCCTTGAGCAGGCTGATTGTAATTGCTCAAGGTATACCATTAGCCTGTATACCGCTAACCTTGATTGCAGTATCAGTTACTGGTTATATACATTTGTCAATACCCATGTAACTAAACACTTAAGATCTGTGCACTCAATTTTATATAAGCCACATGCAGTAAAACAGAGAAAAAATGTTTAAAAAATAGCATTCTTATATGAAGACAAAAAAAAAAAAAACAGTAGTTATCACGTATGTTTGTTGTAGGGATTAAATAAGATAATACATATAGCCCAGTGGCATTGCTGCCAGTTTAGTATGATCTACAAAAAGAAAAAGAAAAAAGAAAAAAGATAACACATATAAAGTACCCTACAATTTATAATTATTTGAGTAAGGGACCAAAATTTTGCAAGGTAAATATTACTATCCTTTTTGTTTATTTGTTTTAAATTAATGAGGAGGCCTGGAGCAGTGCTTCATGCCTGTAATCCTAGCACTTCTGGAGACTGAAGTGGGTGGATCACTTGAGCCCAGGAGGTCTAGGCTATGGTGAGTTGTAATGGTGCCACTGCACTCCAACCTGGGTGACAAAGTGAAACCCTCTCTCAAAATAATAATGATAATAGGGCTGGGTGGGATGGCTCATGCCTGTAATCCGAGAACTTTGGGAGACCAAGGCAGGTGGATCACTTGAGATCAGGAGTTTGAGACCAGCCTGGCCAATATGGTAAAACCCCGTCTCTACTAAAAATACAAAAATTAGCCAGGAGTGGTGGCACACGTCTGTAATCCCAGCTACTCTGGAGGCTGAGGCAGGAGAATTGCTTGAACCCGGGAGGCAGAGTTTGCAGGAGCCGAGATCATGCCACTGCACTGCAGCCTGGGCAACAGAGTGAGACTCCATCTCAAAAATAAACAAATAAATAAATAATAATAATAAATTAATTAAAGAGGACGCATAGTCTTAAAAATGTATACAGTCATCCTTCGGTATCCATGGGAGATTCATTCCAGGACCTCCTATGAATGCTAAAATCAACAGATACTCAAGTCCTTGACATAAAATTGTGTAGTATTTGCAACCTCCCATATACTTGAAATCACCTCTAGATTCCTTACAATGTCTAATACAATGTAAATGCTGTGTGAATAGTTGTTACACTGTATTGGTTAGGGAATAATGACAAGAAAAGTCTGTACATGCTTAATACAGATGCAATTTTTTTAAAAAATATTTTTGATCTGCCGTTGGTTGAATCCATGGATGTGAAGGGCTGATTGTACTAACTTGCCAAAGGTTTAAAGCTGAGCTTTAAATCCTGATCTGTTGAATGTCGAAGTTTTCTTCACTGAAATAGAAAATTACAATGTGGACCCTCTTTAGGAAGTTTGGCTGGATTGAATGAACAGTTTGGTATAAATCCTGTTCTTTTCCTGTAGTTTAACCATGGGAAAATTTCTCAAGTCATTCAAATGTTGTAGTAAAAATATTCTGAACACAGAAAATTCAAATTTGAAAGTTTACAATTGAAAATCTTAAACTGGATACAGCAAGGGAGGGATGAAAACATTATGGAAAACGAGAAATTCATTCTTGTTGTCTGTTAAACACCAAGGGAATATTTTGCTGTTTCAAATCTGTTTAGAACTGGTGCTTTTCAGATGGACAGCCTAATAAATGGTGGTAGAAAACAGATTAACTCTTTGCATGACTTTTTGGAGAAATATGTATCAACATGAAAAATACATAAACATAACATTAGGTACAAACCATGTTATTTATATAGTTTGAATAAAAAGAAAATCATTATAAACTATACAGTTTGTCTGTGTGAACCTATTTCCAAATGACACTTTGTAGGTTATGAAATATTCACCTAAAATTACCATTTGTATATAAAAGACTTATGAAAAAATTCCCAAATTTCTTCTAAATCACAGTTTAATTTAGTTCCACTTTTTAGCTCATCTCCATTTGCCATACAATGAAGGTGATCCTGAGAATTAAGTAGCACTTTTTGTAATATATTCGGCTTTGATTCTATATTAGTATGATAAACTCCTTCATATCTTAAGAGTCATTCTCTTTGATTTTTGACATTCTGACATTTTAAAGAAATTATGTAAAGGGTTTGACTATTCTTTTGGAAAATCTCATTTAACATACATCAGTAGCAGCATTTTTACGTAAAAAAAATCAATGTTTCTGTCATTTATTCTTTAAAATAATACTGGCTATCTGTTCAGAAAGAAAAAAAAAAAACCCTGTGCAAAGTGTGACTGGTATAGAAAGGCATCCTCAGAGAACTTTCAAATTAGCAAAGGGAAACAGAATTCATACTGAAATGACCATCGTAGATATTAATATTTAAGGATGTCATTTAATACAAGGGCAGTGGGCTCAAAGTAAGAAAAATATTCTGAAAAGGTAGCTTATTCTGAACACAGAAAGTTCAAACTAAAAGTTTATAATTAAAAACCATATATCTGATACAATGGTAATACAGAAGACTTAACAGAGAGTGATTCAATGAGAAAAACTAAAATGAGCAGAGAAACAAAAACACAAGAGAAGACACCCAAAAATAGGAAAATAAGAAGAAGATTAATACCAACTGGTATAACTACAAATTTCAAGTAGTAGAGAAACAGGAGATAAACGTTAGAAAAGATGGTTCATGGCAGATTGAGAAGGTCTGAAATGCCAGAATAAAAAGTGTAGACTTTTATTCCACGGGTTGTGAAATGCTGGTTTTATCTTTATTCTAAGCAGTGGTTTCCAAAGTACGGTCTTAGGAATCCTGGGGTCCTCCAATGAGTCTCATGAGGGGTTTTATGAGGTCAAAACTGTTTTCCTAATACTACGACAGTAATAGCAGTTGTCACTCTCACTGCCCCAGAGTTTGCAGTGTAGTTTTCCAAGATGTGTGAAGTAATGTAACAATCCAGGTGTCTTCTCTTAAGCAAGACATTAAAGAGATTTATAAAAGCATAAACACATGCCATTTTTCTCAATAATCATGTTTTTGTTTTGAAAAATGTTTATTTTTCATAAAAATATATTATCTATATTAACATGTAATGGTGTATTATAGGTATTTGAAAATAAATTCATATTTTTAGAGGTTCTCAGTTTTTATTCCTCAACTAAATAAAAATATATAACCTACCTAAACAAAAGCTCTTTGCTGTCTTCGTTATTTTTAAGAGTTTAAAGTGATTCTGAGACCAAAATATGTGAGAACCCTAACAGTAATCTGGTCTTGATATAGACTCAATCATGACCTCTAGTGGATACATCCAGCCATTTTGTAAACTTGAGGACTTCTGATTCAGTCACCAAATTTAAGAGAAAAAAAAATCATTTGAAATCTCACTGTCATTTCTTCTTGAGAATTCATTCATGATCTTCTATCACAGGTACCAAATCTAGTTTCAGGTACAGTGGCTAGGGCTACGGTTTTCCAAGGTATCCCTGGACCACCTACCTGCTTCAGAATCACCTGTGAGATAGGCTTACAAGGAAGATTCCTGGGCCTTACCTAGAACTTTCAATCAGAGTCCCTTGTGATGCAGCCCATCTGCATTCCATCAAGAACCCCACAGTGTTCCTATCAACACTGACATTAAGATTCTTGTTTTAGTGTATTTGTGCTGTATATTTGTGCTGTACTTAAGAGTTTACAAAGAATCACCAAAAAATGGTGGTTAAGACTTACATGGAGACAAAAACTTTTGCTCAGTTGTAATTTCAGTTCTCACAGACTTAGGTGCTTTTCCACTAGAAGATATCTTGTTATCAAGTAGACATTTAGAACCTAAAGTTGATGAGTCTGTCCAAAGATAAGAAGAACTTGCAGGTCCCTAGTGAGACCTTAATTCATCAGAGAACCACTCTACTCTCCTGAAGGAGGAAAGTATGAGTCAAACCTGCACTTCTAAGACTAACATGCAAAAGAATCACTAGAGATTGCAAAACTTAAAATATTTACTATCTGATGATTTACACAAAATTTGCCTACCTCTTGGTCTAGATCAATGCTTTCTAAGCTTTAACAAACAAATAAATCATCTAGGGATCTTGTTAAAATGTAGCTTCTGATTCAGTGGATCTGGGGCCAAGATTCTTATTTCTAATAAGCTCCCAGGAAATGCTGCTGAGCTGCTGGCCACCTGAGAGCAGGTTTGAAATGCAGAACCTTGGGCCTGAGGGCATGCCCACTGACTTGGCAGGTGCCTTTCACCAGGAAGCACAAGTAATCCTCATGCCAGTGAATGATTACACCGGAAACACTGGTGTCATCTACAAAACAGAGCATGGTTTTTGACTTCTGACAAAGCTGCATTGGAATCCCACTCTTATTTGTCAGGTGTAAGAATGCAGCATACAATTCAAGCTCTCCTAACATCCTCTTTTTCCTCTTTAAAGTGATGACAAAAATACTTTATCCACCCACATCATAACCTTGTTGTGAAAGTGGAATGAGACAATGGAAACAATTGGTGAATAATAGCTAACACATACTGATAGCCAAGCCACTGCTGTGAATAATTTACAAACAAAGAATCAAGAAACTGACAAAGAAATTCGGAGTACTAGACCAATTTGTTTGAATTCAGGCAGAGAAGGGTAGAACTGGTATTCATTCTTGCCTCATATTATCTACTTCTACCCTCTTAAAGGCCCCAGCCCTGTTCAAATGTCTGTGTTGATGACTTCTATCATGATTTGTGAACATATTCCGAGACACATCTCTATGCACAAATGAAAGAAACCTACAATCTGGGCCAATAGGAAAAATGTTGCAAACCTCAGTACACACACCTGACCTTTCCAAAACATCAAAAAGCAATGGAGTAAATCTAAAGTTATCCTGACCAATATCCTATGTTAGGGCAATTTTTTTAATGAAGATTAAGCTTCAAAAAATCCAGCAATAGTCAACTTTTATGATGACTATATCACATGCTGGAGGAGATAGCAGTGTAAAAGCACCTCAATTATCTAGTTTCCTCATCTTTAAAATCACCTTAGAGAGTGCTCTCAGGGCAGTTATGACACCAAAGCCTCCATCTGCTTACAATTTCCTTTGCCTTCTGAGAGCTATTTCAGTCCTTGCTATTTTGCTCAGCAGGAAGTCACCATCCCTGCTACTCACTTTCATTTTTCCTTCCTGCCCTTATTAGAGGCTACAGTCATTGAAGGCTCTTTGGAAAAGCTTTATAAAAGGCAACAGCATCCTCTACTGACCGTGACTTATAATGTCAAAGGGGCACCAACTCTGGCATTTCAGCATGATTTGTGTTACTTCTGCTTTAGTACCCTTATCAGGGATTTTTTTGTGTCCTTATTTTATGCTGACTTTCATATTAAAAAGAAACATTGGTGTGTGAACTAATTTTGAGTAGTGAAATAAAATGACTTTCAGCAGAATAGTACACCAGGTGTTGTTTCGAAAAACATATAATTCTCTGCATATGGCATGGCCTTGTTTCAGAACTTCCAGGGCCTGCAGTGTGATTCTTTGCCTAACTCTTGTCCCAAATTCCACATGGCATTTTCCCCACCATTGATACTTCCAGCACCATAGGACCTGTCAGATCACATGGTCCAAGTGGCAGGGCTGCTTGGATCCCAACCTGAATGAGCTATAAGCCCTTTCCCACTCTAGACCCAATTCGTAGAACTCACACACTGTCCCATAATTCAGTAGAAGAGCCAAAGCAGTGTTTTTAGTTGTGGAACATGCTGCCTCAGAACCCGAAGAAGTCTTGCAGCTATTCTGCTCTCTTTTTCATGGTAACAGCTGTAAGATACAGTACTTTGATTTTTATCCGGATGAGATGTCCCAGCAGAACTCTGATCACTAAAATCCTTAACTCATAGGTTTCTGTCAGGTTTCTGATGTTTTTTATGCGGTTTGTCTCCCCTCCTCTGGAGTGTGTATATCTTACTTAACAAGACCTCCATCGTGTCAGCCACTTCTTGCTCATCTAATCCAATCTGCATATAACCATCAATGTAATGGATCAATGTGATGATCAAAGATGACCACATGATCCCTATTTCTTTGGAGTATGACTGTCACAGAAGATGAGAAAATTAATACAGTCTTGAGGTGAAGCATAATTGTAAATGTAACTTTTTGGGTCCAATCCACATGGTTATTAACCATTTCTAATCTTCTTTCCTTTGGGGGATAGAAAAGAACACATTTGGAACATTGGTGGCTGCAGATCATGTGTCTGAGGCCATATTAAACTGTTCTAGCAAAGATACCACTTCTGCCACCAAGATTGTGTTGAGAATTACTATTTGGTTGAGTTTGTGGTAGTCTATAGTCATCTTCTAGGATTTGTCCAGTTTCTTCAGCATACAAACTGGTGAATTAAATGGAAATAAGATGGGAAACACTACCCCTGGAACCTGGATTCGTTAGATCCTTAGGGGTGGCACTAATCTCTGCCATCTTCCCACAATATCACTACCTCCATAATGTGATAAGACTTCCAGACTGAGTGTGAGATTTGGAGACCTCCATCTTCCCTACTATGACAAATCTCACCCCACAGGCCAAGGACCCAATGTGAAGTTGTACCAACTGCCATGTGTTTCAATCCCAGTTGTACCTTCAGACTGGAGGAATAATCACCATCGGGACCTGTGGATCTATGGACCTATTGAACCCCCTATAAATCAGAACATAGCCAGGATTCCATTTATTATCTGGACTTCATCCTAATGGTTATGATGACACTTCAGGTCTCCAGATGTAAGTGTCAGCTCAGACCCAGTATTTAATGGTCTCTGAAATGCACAGCCATTCCCCTTTCCCTAGTGCACAGTATCTGAGTAAATGTCCACAGATGTTTCAGGGGAAGGACTGGGGAAACTATTAGCATATAAACTCACCCGGGTTTGGCAGTCTTTCCTCCTGGGTACCAAGTGACTCTTCAATCAATGGGTGTTGGGTCTGAAAACTGCAAATCCAAAAATTTGGCAAAGAATAACAGTGCTTGGTCTCCTTTGATGTCTTCTACTGGTACACACTGAGTAGTGCCTTTGTTGACCCCCCTCATATTTTGCCCCTTGAGATGACGTGTTCCATTGACTATCTCCATAACTCTCAGCAGGGCAGCCACCCTCAAATGCCACTTCTCCAGCTTCTGCCAGTACATATTGGCTAGGTCTCACAGCTCCTTCGGGAAATATCTCTTTTCCTTTGTTATAAAGTCCAGTAAGTTCCTAGCTGGGTCATGCTGTGACTTAATCCTACTTATAGGTCCAGTGGCCTAGTGCCCAGGAGGAGAAGGAAGGGCAGATACAGAAAGAGGTACCTAAAGCCTTGTGGAAGAGAGACCTCTGCATCATCTTCCAGAATGGAGGGAGTACTGGTTCGTATTAGGGAGAGGCTGGCCATTTCTGCAGGGTCAGAAAGTTCAGAAGTCTTTCAGTTGAAAACATTGAGAGGTATCAGGCCAAATGATTCTCTTCATGTGTCCCAGGGTTTCCCAAACAGGTCCTACCCTTGGTTTATCTTCTTTTTGTTTCCTTATGTTGCTAACGTTGATCTTACAAGCTGTGTTTTGCTTTTATTTAAAATTACAAAATATTCTGGGTCTTTCTTTAACCTACAAGTTGTTTGGATGTTTTGTTTTTAATATCCAAATTGCATTTTCTGACACTATTACATTTTCACATTTCTTCTTGTAGTCTGTCAATTTTTACTGCTTATATTTTGAAGCTATGAGTTTTGGTGCCTGGGTTCAGGATTGCAATATCTTTCTGATAAATATTTTCTCTGGTTGTGTCAGAGGCATTTGAACCAGAGTGACTCCATCTTGAATAGGGGCTGTGTAAAATAAGGCTGAGACCTATTGGCTTGCATTCCCAGGAGGCTAGGCATTCTTAGTTACAGGATGAGACAGGAAGTTGCCATAAGATACAGGTCACAAAGATCTTACTGATAAAACAGGTTGTGATAAAGAAGCCGGTCAAAATCCCCCAAAACCAAGAGGGCAAAGAAAGTAACCTCTGGTCATCCTCATTCCTCATTATACGCTAATTATAATGCATTAGCACGCAAAAAGACACTCCCATCAGCACCATGACAGTTTACAGAGCCATGGCAACATCAGGAAGTTACCCTATATGGTCTAAAAAGGGGAGGAACCCTCAGTTCCAGGAATTGCCCACCCCTTTCCTAGAAAACTCGTGAATAATCCACCTCTTGTTCAACATATAATGAAAAAATAAAGTATTCTTAGACAAGCAGCCCATGCTGCTGCTCTCCCTATGGAGTAGCCATTTTTTATTCCTTTACTTTACTAATAAGCTGGCTTTCACTTTACTCTGTGGACTTGCCCCAAATTCTTCCTTGGATGAGGTCCAAGAACCCTCTCTTGGGGTCTGGATGAAGGCACCTTTTCAGTAATAGTTGTTTGTAATAACTGTCTTTACCTTTTGCAATGCTTTAGGCTTAAAGAATATT